GACTATCTTACAGAGCGGGTTGTTTAAGTCGCCAGCACAATCAGGGGGCAGGAAGCAGGCGCCAACTTGACTCACTCGATGGGAGGGGCAATCTAGCTCAGGCTCCGCTCCCACCCACAGGCCCTACGTCCGCCAAGTAAGGCGACCAGTGTCGGCCGCGGCTCCCAACATCTCCCCCTATTTTATTTACTTTGAATGAATGTATGCATCGCAGCCCGCCCTGGATCGAGTGCAGAGGCTTATGCCCTGTGTTGAGGCCCACCGTAGGCCCTTGGCTTGGACCCTGGTCGGCCGTCCCCGGGTCCACCAAGTCCTTGAGACCCTCGTCCTTTTTCCAGGGCCAGGAGTGAACTGGACGGAACCTGGATGCACATAGGCATGCACTCATGCCCCTCCTTGCGATCCCCTCGGAGAGACATCTAGATCTTGGCAGATTCTAGTAATCCAGCGGCTTTCGTGCAGTATGGGATAGGGCCTGGCTTAGGTCGAGTCGTGCTGGGGAGGCACGCTCTTACCCGTCATTGACTCACCTACCCTGCTGTGTAGTGTCAATAGGGAAGGAGTGCGGAAGACCCGCCACATCTAGACCCGGTCGTAGGCCAGTCGAGCGAGCCATGCGTAAGCCTGGGGGTCATTGTGCCCATCACGGGCTGCTGCCAGGGCCGCATGGGCAACCAGGTGTACTTGACGCCGGGCCGCCGCAAGGCGCCCATTAATAAATGATGTGACCCATCGGAGCAAGCATGGTCCTATAAGTAAGAGCAGAAGCAAGGAGCACAGGGGACCTAACAATGGTAAAATATAGGGGAGCACGCCATTCCAGGCTCCCCAAAAGGGATTGTCTTGTAGTTCTTTTCTTCTCTTTTCTAGGTCTTCTTGCAGTTTCTTTAATCGGTCTCGAACGATTCCGGACTTGTTGGCATAAAAGCAGCATCTTTCCTGTAAGGCAATACAGATACCTCCCCTCTCTACAGTGAGTAGATCTAGGCCCCTTCTATTCTGCAGAACAACCTCTGCAAGGGAATCAATTTGATCTTGTATCTCCTGAAGGGTTCTCTCAACTATAGACATGTCTTCTATCAATTGCTTGGATAACTGAGTATATTTGGTTAATGAAACTCCTAGGCCCGCAGTCCCGGCGGCCAGGGCTCCAGTTATCCCCAGACCAGCCAAGAGAGGTAAAATCAGTACATCTCTCTTATGTCTTTTTATAAAGGTGTCCACAGCTGGGATGGGCATGGGTTGGTCCCCAGGGACAATACCAATGTCAGGCAACAAGTAAGCTAGGCCACATAGGCCGGTCCAATTACTGGGCAGGTAGGTATAAGCATGACCATTGCCGCAAGCAAATACTTTGCCAAAGGGGGCACATAGCGGCGAGCTACTACTTACATTGGTTATGGACTCACACGAGGCGACTGCCAGCGCTCCAACAACAATATCATAACTATTATTCTGTGGGTACTTTTGAAAACAGGATGCATTAAACTGTCCCATAAACTGGACCCGAAATGGAGGCCCATGTGAGCAATTATAGGGTGTGCTATAATTGTAAGGTTCACTTTCATAGTCTCTAAACGGCATGGCCAGCGGCCATGATTCTCCCATCATCATACACAGCCAACAATCAGAGGCCAGCCCTGGGTCAGTAAGATTGAGTGCTTTGTGGGTAGCCTCTAATATGGATTCAGTAGCGGGGTCAAGGTTAATGCCTCGGGATTTTGGGCGTAGGAGTGGATGGTAATTGACTTCAGGGAACGGATTTAATTGTTCCCATCGCTCGATGACCTGTTCCTGCCGGTACTGGTCTTGGACCCCTCCACCGTCAGAGATGTGAACGGGAGCGGTCATAGACCAACAGACCGTTTCTCCAACCTCTCCATTACAACCCGACTGCATGAATGGAGAACTGCCTACAGCAGCGGGAATATGGTTAGGGGCAACAGGGCTTTTAGTTGTAGTTAGCGTTGCCATCCAATAGGTTGTACTCTTAAGTTTGCATTGTTTTGTCTCTGTATAGCATGTAACATGCATGGATTCCTCAAACTTAGTGCAGGGACATGTGGCGAGATCACCAGGCCCTGAGGGACTCACCTTAGGCTTAAGTATGCACTGATAGGATGGTTGACTAAATCCTCCTGCAGTGGAGGGGTACACAACTGAGAATGCTGTTTTATCCCCACAATCGGTCCCTGGTCCTTTTTTGGCGCTAGGTGGTATACTGCTTACCGTGCCACCTCCGCAATCGCACGGACTGCCAAGAAGGCTCGTGCGAAGATCTATTCCAGAAGCGGGGCCCCCCAGCCCCGCATGTACCATACTTATCCTGAGGAGTGCTAGGACAACGCCCCCAACGAAAAAAGCAGCCTTTTTCGGGTTCATCTGGCTGTCAGGCCTGCTGCTGGTCTCCGGCAGGACAGGATTAGTCTTCAGTCGAAGGGCTTGTCGCACGCGTCAGTCTTTCTGGGACCCACAATGGTTCTCGTCCCGGTTCCTGCGGGAAAACACAAACCGCACCTCGGTTCCAGCTGACTACCGGATCCGGGCCCATCCATTGTCCCGTCAGGACATCTTTCCATTTTACCCATCCCTTATTGCTAGGAGATGGATTACAATGCTCCATAGCCGGGGGGTGGTTGTTATTGTTCAGGTTTAAAAAATTGTATGTGAATAGTGCCATGGATAGCCGCGCCTTTGGGGGCAGGCCCTGGCCTACTCCCCCTTTTTGTTTACATAAGATTTCTTTGAGGCTTTTATGAGCTCTTTCAATAATTCCTTGGACTTGAGGATTATATGGGATACCATGTTTTAAGTGTACTTCCATAGTCTTACAGAACTCATTGAAGGCTTTTCCTGTATAGGCTGGTCCGTTGTCTGTCTTTAATATTTTGGGCTTGCCCCACGCGGCCCAAGCCGCTAAGCAGTGATTGATCACATTAGATACCTTTTCACCTGTCTCTGCAGTTGCGAATATAATATGAGAACAGGTGTCCGTGGAGACATGGACATACTTAAGAGATCCAAATTCTGTCATGTGTGTGACATCCATTTGCCAAATATCGCCAGGGATCAACCCTCTGGGGTTAACCCCCATTGATATGGCAGGAGTGTGTGTGGCGCATGAGCCGCACAGTCGCACGATGTCCCGCGCGTCAGCCCTGGAGATGCGGTACTGGTTGGCTAGCGTCCTGGCATTGACATGGAATTTGTCATGGAACTGACGGGCTTGCTCTATTGGAGATAACATATTGAAAATCCATAACGGGCGAGTGGCCGCGTCAGCAGCCGCATTGCCCTGTACCATGGGCCCTGGTAGGTGTGTATGTGCTCTTATGTGAGTGATGTATATTTTGTTGTGTCTATTTATGAGCAATGTCTGGATAGACAAAAACAAGTTAGTTACTTTGGAGGTTGGTTTAATTGGGCCTGCAGTCTCAAGGACCTGCATGGCATTGACAACATATTTTGAATCAGAAACAATATTAAGGGCCCCTGGGAACTTCTCAAGGACGGTTTGTACAATTTGTAACTCCACCACCTGTGGTTGATCTGGTTCAAACTGTATGTTAACTGGAGGCATGCCTGAGACCACATAGGCCCCTATCCCGGTTTTTGACCCATCAGTATAGACTGTTGTTGCAGGAGTAAGGGGTGCAGGGGCGGTGATTTTTGGAAATATCACCGGATGTTGAGTAATAAACTGTAGTATAGGGTCCTTAGGGAACTGATTGTCTATCTCCCCAAGAAATACACATCTCAGGATGGCCCAAGTATCTATGCAAGCAGTCAGAATTTTTATTTGAGAAGCGGTATAAGGCACCCGAATAGCGTGAAGCGTGGAGCCAAAATGCTGGATGGCTCTACTATGTGCCTCCAGAGCCAGAGAAGCAACTGCTTCCAGGTAATGTTCAATAATCTTGGCAGGTGAAACCTTAGGGTGCACCCACAGAAGTGGTCCTTTCTGCCAAATCACTGCCGTGGGCTGGGAACTGGTCTGCAACAAGCAGACCTCAAAAGGCTGTTCTGGGTCAATTCTCTGTAATGTAGCTTTGCTTAGGGCCTCTTCTATCTTTTTTAGAGCAACTCTGGCCTCTGGGGTGAACTCTCTAGGGGAGGCAATATCCGGATCCCCTCTCAGGAGATCAAACAGGGGCTTTAAGTCTGAATTAGGGATGTGCAAGTAAGGTCTGATCCAATTTATATCTCCCAGTAACTTTTGTATGTCATTTAGGGTTGTAAGATTATCTGTTCTGATGGTTACCTTCTGTGGAGAAATCGATGTAGGGGAGACTTTGGTACCCAAGTAAGTCACTATGTCTCCTCCTTGAATCTTGTCAGGGGCAATACGTAAATTAGCCTTTCTCAGGGCCTTGACCAGTTGGCCTAGCATATCCTCTAACCTATTTATGTCCTTCGCACTGATCAGCAGATCATCCATGTAATGAATGCACCTAACTCTGGGGAAGGCTTTGCGTAGGGGGGCCAGTAGGGAATCAAGGTAAATCTGACACATAGTGGGACTGTTGGCCATACCTTGGGGCAGCGTTATCCACTCGTATCTGAGATCAGGGCTTTCTTGGTTAATGGTGGGTAAGGTAAAGGCGAACCTATGGGTGTCCTCTGGATGCAGGGGGATTGAGAAGAAACAGTCTCTAAGATCTATAACATAAACTGGCCAGGACTGAGGGATGGCTGAGAGAGCTGGCAGCCCCCTCTGGACCGCCCCCAGGGGCTGCATCTGCGCGTTGACCGCCCTTAGATCATGGAGCAGCCTCCACTTACCTGATTTCTTTCTAATAACAAAAACAGGGGTATTCCAAGGGGAGGTTGATGGCTTTATGTGCCCTGCCTGAAGCTGGGTTTTGACTATCTCGGTTAACGCTAAAAGCTTCTCCTTGGGTAGGGGCCACTGAGGTACCCAAACCGGATTCAGGGACTTCCAAGTGATCTTAATTGGAGTAGGCAGGAGAACTTCCTCAGCGGCCCCTAGGAAAAACCCAGCCCGTGTCTACCTTCCCTTTTTTCTACAGGTACGGGAGATGTCCGGCCCTGCAGGGCAGAGCCCAGGCCCTTGCCGGGGACATATCCCTGATTCTTAAGTATACCCTTGGCTTGGGGAGAGCAGGTGGATGTAAGAGTGACATCCATCTGAGTGAGGATGTCTCTTCCCCACAAAGATACCGGCAGCTGTAGAACAAAAGGTTGAAAATGTCCTTGGTGACCCTCCTCATCACACCAAGGCAGGGTCACGGCACTAACCTGGGGGGCAGCCACCATCCCCAACCCTTGGAGTGTGTTATCAGCTGTATTGGTGGGCCAGCTAGAAGGCCAGTCCCTCTTGGAGACAATGGAGCGGTCTGCCCCTGTATCCAGGAGTCCTGTTATATTTCTACCATTAACCCTGAGCGAGAGCATGGGTCTTTTATCAAGAGTCATATGAAGTCCTTCAAAAATTTCTCCAGAGGAGCCAAAACCCTGATCCCCTCTAACCCGTTGTCTAGACTGGAATCTCTCATGGAGACTGGGGAGCAATAAAAGTTGTGCTATCTTATTCCCCTCATTAATCACCATGGTCCCTACATGAGATTGGACCATAATCTTAATGTTTCCTGTGTAGTCTGAGTCTATAACCCCAGGGAGCACGGTAAGGCCCCGGAGGGCTGTGGAGGACCGTCCAATCACTAAACCAACTGACTTTTCAGGTAGCGGTCCTTTGAAGGTGGTCCCGACCACCTGAACGCCCATATCGGGCGTTAATAGGAGTCTGGAGGCGACACAGAGGTCCACGCCTGCTGACCCAGGGGTAGCCCTTGTGGAGGGCTGCCACCTTGTGTTGTCCTGTCTAGGGGGCGGGGGCCCGTCCGTAAGGAGGGCCCCCTCTGGCCGTTTTTTGGCTCCTGAATCCCCCTGCCACTAATGCGGTTTCCCTGGGCATCAAAAACTGATCTGCAATCTTTCGCTTTGTGTGTTCCCTTCCTGCATCGTTCGCACACGCCTATTGGCCCTTCCCGTGTATTAACACTGTGCGGACAGTCTCTCCTAATATGCCCTGGTTCCCCGCAGCCAAAACATCCTTTGGGCTTACGATCTCGCTTAGGTCCAGAAGCATCCTTAGCTTGTGCTGTCGCAGCTACAAAGGCCGCCGCAAGCTTTGCTGCAGTCATCTGCCCTCCAATCTCCCTACAAATCCTAATCCAAGCATTGAGATCCTTGTTTTTATGCGGGGCAAGAGCCGCTTTGCACTCTGTTGTGCATTGTTCAAAAATGAGTTGTTTGATCAGGGGCTTTGCCACCTCTTGGTCTGAAAAAACTTTATCGCCCGCGTCTTGCATCCTAGCCACGAAATCAACAAATGGCTCTGTGGCACCCTGCACTATCTTTGAAAGGCATAATGAGGCCGCCCCCGCACCGTTCACCTGTTTCCATGCGCGGAGCCCAATATTAGAGATTTGGTCATACACCTCATTGGGGAACTGAGTTTGGTCATCCCTATATTTACCTGAGCCCTGGAGCATATCTTCGTTCCACCTTGCATGCCCCCTGCTAACATTCTTTTCTGCTTGCTCGATGGCAAACTCGGCATACCAGGCTCGCCAATCAAGATAACTACCCGAAGGAAGGCATGCCTTGGCCAGCTGCATCCAATCACCTGGTGTAAGAGGCTGAGAGGCAAGATTCTCTAGCATAGCTATAGTATAAGGAGCTGTGGGCCCGAAGGTCATGACAGCGCTTTTTAATTCTCTAATCTGTTTTATTTCAAACGGTTCCCAAACATTGCGCCCTTGGCCTGGGGCCATTTGCACAGGATATACTCCATAAAGACCGTAATCCATTCCTTGCATCGGTGGATCCCCTCCGGGCCATCGTTCACCCCTCCATAACCGCCCATGAAAATATCGTCCGCCCCGCGGCGCAACGTCATAAGACGGCGGTCGCGACAGAGTGGAACGGGGCGTCACTTCCTGTGCCGGCTGAGAGAAGGGAGGGTTCCCTGTAGCGGCCTCTCGGCGGGGAGCCGCTTCTGGAAAAGAGCTCCAGGGCGGAGCGGATGGCTCTCTGTCTCCTCCCCGCCAGAGAGCGCTCAGGGGCCCTTTCTCCTCTCTCTGCTTTTCCCGGGCAGCGCACGCACACAATTCCAATTCACGGCGCAACTCGGCATAGGGGTTTTTGGCCTCTCGGCTTCCTGCCCCACCTTCTGGTTCCTCCTCGCTATCTAAGTCGGAGGACTCTAGAGCTTGGGTGTCCTCTATCTTTCCCTGGATTTTTTCCCCCTGGACAGATCCCTCCCGAGAGCATTCCGACTTTGCCTGCTCAAAAGCCTTGCGTGCGTCTATGATTTCCGCGTCTCTAACTGCTGACGGGAACCCCTTCCCCTCCCCTTCAAGGCACGCATGTATCATTTCCCACAGGGGGCGAATAGCCGGCGAAATATCCCCTTCCAATTCCGCCGAGGCGAGGTCCCCGCCTAACTTCTCCCATGATGGCAGGTTTAAATGCCCCGTGGGTAAAAACCAGGGAGCTACCCTATCTACCTCTGCTATGAATAGTTCCAGTGTTTTTTGACCTACCCTGAGGTCTCTAGCTTTTAAAAGCTTTCTAAGGGCCTTTACCAAGGGCCGCGCCTCCGCGCTCGGTAAATTACCCATCTCTAACCTCTAAGGGCTGTAACTCACCGCGTGTGACTTAAAGAACCCGTCACCTACGCGTGAGCCTGAGGGGAGTCTAAAAGCCCTGTAGGTGCGCGCCACCCAGAGCCCAGGCTTATCCCCAACTCACCTGTCCGGCAGCACCACGCTGGAGCGTTGCACACCACCGCCGTGTCTCGGGGTTGATCAGTCCCCGTGCGGGTCACCAAATGTCGGTGTCGCTCCCTGCCTGCAGGAAGAACACGCGACAGATTCTGACGGTGTGCAACCTTGCCTTTATTTGTCTCCACGTGGGCCCCGCGAGGCCTCCTCTCTGTCACCAGCCCTTTCTCGCCGGTGGACTTTCTCTATCTCTGTGCTTCCTCTCGTGGCGGGAGAGGCATTCACTTTTATAGGGCAACAGTAGCCAATCAGTTCAAAGCGCGCCATGCAGGCTGACTGGTTAACATCAGCTGTTGCTAGGCAGACTATCTTACAGAGCGGGTTGTTTAAGTCGCCAGCACAATCAGGGGGCAGGAAGCAGGCGCCAACTTGACTCACTCGATGGGAGGGGCAATCTAGCTCAGGCTCCGCTCCCACCCACAGGCCCTACGTCCGCCAAGTAAGGCGACCAGTGTCGGCCGCGGCTCCCAACACTTTACCTCAATATAATAAAGGCCATTTATGACAAACCAACAGCCAGCATCATACTAAATGGCCAAAAATTGAAAGCCTTTACTTTAAAATCGGGCACAAGACAAGGATGTCCTTTATCACCACTCCTATTTAATATAGTACTGGAAGTACTAGCCAGAGCAATTAGGCAAGAAAGAGAAATAAAAGGGGTAAAGATAGGAAAAGAAGAAGTTAAATTATCATTGTTTGCAGATGACATGATACTCTACATAGAAGACCCCCTAAACTCCATTGAAATACTCTTAGATACAATAAATAAATTCAGTAATGTGGCTGGATACAAAATCAATACTCAGAAATCAATAGCATTCCTATACACGAACAACAAAATTACAGAGAGGGAAATAAGAGAAACTGGACTATTCACATTAGCAAGCAAAAAAATGAAATATTTAGGAATTACTCTTACGAAAGAAGTGAAAGACTTATACAGTGAAAATTATAATACACTGAAAAAGGAAATTGAAGATGATCTCAGAAAATGGAAAGACATCCCTTGCTCATGGATAGGAAGAACAAACATTGTGAAAATGGCCATTCTCCCAAAACTGTTATACAGATTCAATGCAATCCCAATAGAAATACCATCAACATACCTTATAGATCTAGAGAAATCACTCCTAAATTTCATCTGGAACCAGAAGAGACCTAGAATCGCAAAGGCAATTCTAAGCAGGAAAGACAAAGCAGGAGGCATCACAATCCCTGACTTGAAGTTATACTACAAAGCAACAGTAGTAAAATCAACATGGTATTGGAATCAAAACAGAGCTGATGATCAGTGGAATAGATTAGAAGATACAACCACAACTACGAACACACTCAACCACCTTATCTTTGATAAAGGAGCCAAGCAGGTTCATTGGAAGAACGACAGTCTCTTTAATAAATGGTGCTGGAAAAACTGGCTCTCCATTTGCCGAAAACTAAAGCTAGACCCATGTCTATCACCATGTACTAAATTAAAATCTAAATGGGTCAAAATCTGAATATTAAAAGAGAAACACTAAATCTATTGGAAGACAAATTGGGTAGAAACCTTGAAGACATAGGAGTAGGTAGAGAATTCATGAACAGGACTCAAACCGCACGGGAAATACTTCCCAGAATCAATAACTGGGACCACTTCTTATTAAAAAGTTTCTGCATGTCAAAAGAAATCTCCAGCATAGTGAAAAGAAAACCCACAAACTGGGAAAAGATTTTAGTGAACTCTCTCTCAGACAAGGGCCTCTTGTCTAAAACATATAAAGAATTAAAGAAACTCAGACCTCCGAAATTCAAAGATCCAATCCAAAAATGGGCATCTGAGATGAATATGCAATTCTCAGATGAAGAAATGCAAATGGGAAATAAATACATGAAAAAATGCTCATCATCATTGGTCATTAGAGAAATGCAAATTAAAACCACACTGAGATACCATCTCACTCCTGAAAGAATGGCCAGGATCAAGAAAACCGACAACAAATGCTGGAGAGGCTGTGGGGAAAAAGGAACTCTCCTGCACTGCTGGTGGGAGTGTAGACTGGTACAGCCTTTGTGGAGATCTGTCTGGAGATTTCTCAAAAAGTTGGGACTGGAAATCCCATTTATTCCAGCTATTCCACTTCTAGGCATATTCCCAGAAGAACTGAAAGCATCATACCACAGTGATATATGTGCACCTATGTTTATAGCAGCACAATTTGTAATCGCCAGATCTTGGAAACAACCCAAGTGCCCATCAACTGAGGAATGGATAAAAAAGTTGTGGTATTTCTATACAATGGAGTATTATTCAGCTATAAAGAAGGATCACATTGAGATATTTATCAATAAATGGGCGCAGCTTGAGACCATACTCATTAGTGAAATAAATCAATCTCGCATGTGTGAATACCGAATAGTTTCCCTAATGTAAATAATGATTCAAATATATAAAAATATGTGGTAATCATGATTCCCCATTAGGTGGCCTTGAAGCCTTATAAAGTTTTCACTCATTAATTAGAAAGGCTTTATTCTGGGCTTCTTGATATGAAAATATTTGAAGCTAGAGTATATGAAGTTTTATCCAAATATTTCAAGGAAAAAGACACTATGGTAACTACTATTAAGTCAGGTTATAAGGTGGTGAAGTACTAGGTTGTTGAAACAGTCATGCTGTGACCTCTATTGTTATATTGTTATGTCCTGTTTTATCTCAATCTCCCCCTTATTGTTTTAAAAAAATTATTTAGTCATTTCTTATGTTTGTCTTAATTAAAGAAAAAATTCAAAAAAATTAGGATATATAAATAGTAACTCTTTTTGATTTCCTATTAACTTGTTTTGAAGTCCTGTAGTACTCCCACGATCTTGTTTTGACTGATTAGACTCTGTTCCATTCTATATGATAGTATCAAGTTTGAAGACATAGGCAACTACTTTGAAGACAATAAGATTCACTAAGATACCCATTCTGGTTTGACTATTGTCTCTTTGGAAGTCCTGTAATGTTCACAATGCCTAAGTTTTATTGGTCTTGTTCTCTACTGTTTTGTCCAACTTTATAATATCTAATGAGATAGACAATTCTTTTTAAGGAAACAAGGGACATTTGATTGTTGATAAACTTGTACTCTGTTCTACACCATGTGCTATGTCTATCCTTGGTATTGACTGACAGCTTTGTTTTGCCATATTTGACTGTATTCTTCCCCCCCTCCCAAAGAAAGTAATAAGCACTAAGGAGTAATTAAATCGAAGATGTGTAAATTTTGTTGTAAAAAAGAGAGGGAAAAAAAAAAAAGAAAAAGAGCTCTAACGGATATAACAGCAAGTGTGTTTGGGGGTGTTAAATAGCTGACTTTATCAATGTTTTTGGAACATTGAACACAGATGTTTGCAGTCTCCCTGTTTGAATGTCCACCTTGTGTTCTTTGATACTGTGATTTGAGGAACTATTTTCAAGAAGATAGTGTGTAATCTACTAGCAGGTGATTTCTTACTGTTATGTTTTTTTGTTTTGTTTTGTTTTGTTTTGTTTTGTTTTGTTTTGTTTTGTTTTGTTTGTAGTTCTGTATTGCGTGTACCCTTACGCCGCTTTGGTTTGTTTTGTGTTTTTCTCTTTTTCCTCTTAAATAAAAAAAAAAAAAAGAGAGAATCTCTGTACTTACTTTATTTCTTTGCAGAACATGGCCATTCTGTGCATGAGGGCTGCACTGCCATGCCCCTAAATCTCATATTAATAAGGGATATAATATATATTCCTTGAGCCCCTTACTTTATAATTCCTGCCATTTGCTCAAAACTTGTTGTGAAAAATACCATTCCATATGGATCAGAGGTCACCATTAAATCCAAAGGCTTTACTTACACTTTGTGTATCTGGTGGACCAAAAGGTCATAAAATTAACATTCAATTATTCTTCTTTGTAAAGTTTTTAAGATAAGGCACATGCATTGTGAAGAAGATAAGCAAATAAAAATGACCCATAAAATGATTTTGGGCAAGAAAAAGTATGTAAACAAAGAAAAACTATTCAGCTCACATATTTTGAGGAACTATTTTCTTATATGTGTGCTCTGTTACAATCACATAGTGTCTGTATGACAAAACTCTGTAATGGTAACTCACGATAATGTTTGAACAACCATTCAGCCTAACAAAGTGAGTCTCAGAAGTGTGTAGAGAAGTATCTGTTGAGTTCATTTGGCCCATTTTATTGAAGGGTTGCTGATTTTGCAACATTCACTTTTTAATTTCTGTATATAATTTTTACATTAATTCTGTCTTAAGAGTAGATAGTGAGTGCCTGAGTTTTGACTCTGTTAATGCTTACTTTATGTTGACTTTTGGTATTAATTCTTGTGCTTTTGGAGTCCTGTTCTGGAAGTCTTTCCCTATGTCTATGACTTCAGGAGTATCCCATGGCATCTTTCAGGAGTTTCACACTGTTTGTGCATCTTAACCTTTTATCTATTTGGTTTTTCTTTTAGTACTGGATGGGAAGCACGGATCTATTTTAATTCTTCATACAAATATCCAGTTTTCCCAAGAGGCTGTCTTTCCTGCGCTGGTCAGTGCTCACATGGCTGTGGGTGGGGAGGACTGCTTCTCTCTCTTCTGTCCTATTCTCCTCATCTGAATTTCTGTTTTCAGTAAGTATCATGTTTCTGTCTCAATGGTTTTGTTGTGTAAACAGTTACCTTTTTTATTTGTCTAGATTGTATTATTTTATTTTTGCTCTTGTTTTACTTTTTGTGCTGTAGTTTTGAAGTTTCCACACTTAGAAATCTCCATTCAGTTAATTTTAATCTACTATTTAAATCCACTGAAGATTTTCTTTATTTTTGTTACAGTGTTTTCATACCTAGAATTTCTCTGTGATTCTTTGAATTTCCAGTTTTCTGCTTATATTTCATGAAACTTGCAAGGGACCAAGTGTTAGGCATCCATAATGTATTTTTTAAAATCTTAACCCCCAATTTGATGATATTTGGAGGTACAAGTTTAAGGAAGTACTTTTTAAACAAAGTTGAATTCCTCATGCATGGTATTAGTGCCCTAATAGGA